ATGTTGAATATATATTACGCGAAACACCTTTCATTTATGTATACAGGGTATCTTCAAAATATGGGAACCCCTGAATATCTTTTTACAGTGAGGTTTTTCGATAAAACTTTCAAAACAAAAGTTGTTGGGTTTTAAAAGATATATTTACTGCTCTTATCAGTTTGAGCTTGGATGGTGTCTCAAAGGTCAGGACAAGGTCAACTTTGGTTTTTTTAATAGAAACATTTATTTTTCATTACGGAATTTTATTCTACGTAAAGAAATAAACAATTTTTGTTTGAAACATTTTTTTATACGACTTCCATTTTCTAAGATATTTTTTCGGAAATATGTACAAAATTATTGGTTTCTAAAATTTTTTACTCGAATTCTAAAAACTATTTGAAAAATTGAAAGAGATACAAATTGTTTATTTTCTTCTCATACAGCTGTAAGAATTTTTTTACAATTTTGTATTAACTTTTTAGTATTGCGTTTTCTTGCATTTTCTTGAAGTATAAAAAAGTTAATACAACATTTGGAAAAAATTCTTACAGCTGTATGGGAACAAAATAAACAATTTCTATCTCTTCCAATTTTTCAAGACAGTTTTTACAAATCGAGTAAAAAATTATTGAAACCAATATATTGGTTCCTGTCACGCATCTGGGAACGTTGTAGCCAATAAGAGCCAACGTCGAGTGATGTTGGCAGCGTTGGTGTAGCGATCGAGCTCAATCCAGAGAAAAGACAAAGGTGCATCAGTACTATAAGAATCGCTGGCGATTACAACCCAAAGCTTTGCAATAGTTTAGATACAGAAAACGCTAAAAGGTTTGCAACGGTAAATTAAAAAGGTATGTAAAACCCACATTAAAATATTGGTTAATTTGTGTTGAATTCGCCGTAGAAAGTTGAAAGTTTTTATAACCTCACTTTATAATACGTTGTGAATATATTACTAAATACAGATGTAAATATGCATGAAATGGTACGTTGTGTAGTATTAACGTTTTTTACAAACTTATCTTTATTATTATTAATTTTATGTTGTGGTAAAAAAGATCTGTTGAATGAACGTAAAAGTGTTCGCGCGCAGTGTAAACGTAAAAACAATGGTACAATATATGCAGAGACAGTGTGCATTTTAACATTGCTTTTATTTGGTAAAAATCAATTTAAAAAATTTCGAAAAATGCAATGTAATGTAATTTTACATTTTCAATATTTATACAAATTTGGAATGTCCTCTTAGTAATTGATATGTAGCAAAGAAAACTCAAT